TCGGCGGACACAACATCTTTGTTGGTATGTGGTGCTGAGGATCGAACCTGGGCCGCACGCATGCCAGGCGAGCGCGCTACCGCTTGAGCCATATCCCCAGCCCCTAACTATTATAGTTTATATCAGTGTTTTTTAGCTAGTTAGCTAGTTATTTGTCTTTTTTGCTTTTTTTTTTTTTCTCTTTTAGATGGATTCTTATTGCCTGGGCTGGCTTTGAACTTCTGGGGGCTCAAGTGATCCTCTTACCTCAGGCTCAAGAGTAGCTGGGACTATAGGTGTGCACCACAATGCCTGACTTTTAGCTAGTCTTCATGGCCTAAGATTAAAAAAAAAAAAAGGTTCCTGAAGTATTAGAAAACAGACACGTATTTTTATCATACATGGCAATGTCTTATTTTAATAACAAATTTTGGGTTAAACATTTACTATGTATTTGTTACTACTTATGATACTACGTAAATATTTTATGTTTTATTTTTTTTGATACTGGGGATCAGACCCAGGGGAACTTTACCACTGATCTACATTCCCCAGTCCTCACTTTTTTTTGAAATAGTGTCTTACTAAATTGCTAAGGCTAGTCTTAAACTTGTGATCCTCCCGCCTCAGCCTCCTGAGTAGCTGGAATTACAGGCATGAATTATTATCCCTGGATTGTATAAATTAATTTGAAATATTAATGCAAAATATAATAAGCATTCAGTTTAATATAAGCAAATTTTAAATTGTTTGAAACTCAATTTGTTTATAAAATTATTACCTTTTTCCTGAGGCTTTTTTCTTCCAGATAGTTGGAATACTCTTGATATTATCCCACAGGTTTCTTTAATTTTAATTAGTTTTAATTTGGTGGATAAATAATACATTGTACTTAGTGACAGGAGTTGTCAAAATTAAGGTAATTAGTCTCAAAGAAAAATTTAGACTACTCAGTGAAACAAATTTATGGATACACTTCACTCTTTTCCACTTAATTTTAAAATTTTAAATAGGTTGAATAAAATTTTCTTCTGTACTTTTTATGTGCTTTTTGTAGTAAACTTTATATTCATTTTTTAAATTTTCTTTTTTAGTTGTAGATGGACATAATATCTTTGTTTTATTTTTTATTTTTAATATTTATTTTTTAGTTGTAGTTGTCAGTTCTTTATTTTATAATTTGTTTTTATGTGGTGCTGAGGATCGAACCCAGGGCCTCACCCGCGCTAAGCAAGTGCTGTACCGCTGAGCCACAACCACAGCCCCTGTTTTGTTTATTTTTATGTGGTGTTGAGGATCAAACCCAGTGCCTTACATGTGCTACGTAAGCACTCTACCACTGTGTCACAATCCCAGCCTATACTCATTTTTAATATAAATTCACTTTTAATATATATATTCATTTTATTTAACCAAGTAGTAATAAAAACTGAGTGAAAATTTTAAGAAACCTACTAATTTTTAATCTGTTATCTAACTGGGTAATTATAAGGGTGCATAAGTATATAGTGAGAAACTATAATCCTTTCTCTTAAAAAGCTGCTGAAGATTTAATTGGTTCTTAGCATTATTGACAGGCCAAAACAAACAGTGCAGAAATCTTTAAAACATTGTTGTATATTGGCAGAATTTTAGCCAAGGCAGGTTTTGATTGTTTGTACCTTTACTTATTTATTTTTTAATTTTTTATTTTTTGGTGTACCGAGGATTGAACTCAGGGATACTTAACCATTGAGCCACATTCCCAGCCCTATTTTGTATTTTATTTAGAGACAGAGTTTCACTGAGTTACTTACTTAGTGCCTTGCTTTTGCTGAGGCTGGCTTTGAACTCTCAACATCCTGCCTCAGCCTCCCCAGCAGCTGGGATTACAGGTGTGTGCCACTGCACCCGTATTTATTTTTATTTATTTATTTTTATACATAAATTTATAGTAGGCATGAATGATATTTTAAACATAGTCTTTAGGAAAATATCACTGCTCTTGGCTGGAGCGGTGGTGCATGCCTATAATCCAAGTGACTCAGGAGGCCAAGATAGAAGAATCACAAGTTTGAGACCAGCCTCAGCAACTTAGCAAGGTCATAGTAAAACTCTGTCTCAAAATAAAAAATGAAAAGTCCTGGGGCTATAGCTTAGTGGTAGAGTCCCTCTGGTTTAATCCCCAATGTAAAAACAAAAAACAAAAACAACAACAACAAAAAACCAATTAAAAAACCCCCTCATTGTGTTTGTGTTCTGTATGTATACATATATCCATAAAGCACATCACAGTTGAATCAAGAAATTGCCATTTTTATAAGTCAAAATTGGTGGAATATTAGCAAATTTCATGATCTGAGAGAATATATGTTTATGCACATTCATACATGTAAAATTCAATATATAAGGTTTCATTGTGATTTCTTAATTTGTGTTGTTTTTATTTTCAAAATAATTTGGTATTACAACTGCTTAGTGAGAAGTAGGACTAAAATATTACTGTGCAACTGAAGATATAATTTTTTCTATTGGTCATTGGATAGAATTGAGAGTGGTTGGATATTTATGTTTTTCATGGATTCTCTTCTCGAGATCTAATGCCATATTTAAAATTGTGTGCATCAACATAATACTTAAGACAAACTTTTGAGGAAATATGGCTAATGTTGATTTTATTTAAGTATAATTTTATTGACTTGATAAAGGCAGAAGCTCTGGGGCTGGGATTGTGGCTTAGTGGTAGAGCTCTTGCCTCGCATGCGTGAGGCACTGGGTTCAATAATCAGCACCACATAAAAATAAATAAATAAAATAAAATAAAGATATTGTGTCCATCTACAACTAAAAAAAAATATATTAAAAAAAAAAAAAAAGAAGCTCTGGACTCTTAAGAAACTGCATCCCCTGTTGGATCTCAGTGACAGTATGTGGTCCTGGCGTTTTATCAAGGCAGCCTGTGTTAGCGTTGCTTCCTCATTAAGTAATTATTCAGGGATTTTTCTAATGAATATATTGTAAGATATAACTTTTTGTGGTATAGCCTAGGGATATAATATATAATGATATAAAGTCTCATCTTTACTTAAATTTTATAGGTATAGCTAGGCACTTTCGTTTTGGAAACCAAGAAGATGCCCATGAATTTCTTCAATATACCGTTGATGCTATGCAAAAAGCATGTTTGAATGGGAGCAATAAGTAAGTCAAATAAAACATCAGTCGTTTCTACGTTTTGTGTCCCTGGCTTATCAGAATTTAGTTTTGCCTTTTATGTTGAAATCTGTTACAACATAAAAATCTGTTATACAGATCTGTTTACTTTACCTTTTGGCTTTCCCCTGCCTCTTCCCCACCTGATTTGCATTATTTTAAAATGATTGTAATTTAGAAAGGTACTTGTTATAACAGTTTTAATTTGTTCAATTATAAGTGTCAGAAAATGAATGTTGGCCTTGCCATAGTTTAATTTCTGGGTAATGGTGTACCTTAGCAGATCTAAAATTACCCGCTTCTCCTGGTTGTTTCTCACATTTTCTTTGTTGACCTCTAGACTCAGAAGTCTGTTTCCTGCCTCTTTCTCTCTCTCTGGTCACTTATGAATTCTTATAGCTTTGTCCTAAAACCTAAATGCAGACATGAAGGAAGACTGGGGAGACAAATAGAAAACAGTCATAACCCACCTGCTCTTGCCCACATACACCTGGTACATTTCCCTTTGCATGCTGATCTAGGCCTTCATGTCATTCTTCTGGTGCAGGGTCACAAACCTGCTGAGAGTATCTTCTTTTCTTTGTTGCAAGGTCAAATTCCTGCCTGGATTTCAAAGTCCCTCATAATATAGCTCCTTCTGTCCTCATCCCCAAACCCTCACTGTATCTGTCAGGCAAGGGCTAGTTTTTGGCTGCCACATATCTTGAGGTCTTTTGTGTGTGTGTATGTGTATGGTGGTGGGTTGGGGGTCTTTTTGAATCTTGTTCCTTTATAGATGTATATGCTTTTAAAATCTATTCATAGCATAATTTTTGCATAATTCTTCTATCATGTCACTTTTTAACTATTTTTCAGATTAGACAGACATACCCAGGCTACCACACTTGTTTGTCAGATATTCGGAGGATACCTAAGATCTAGAGGTAAACTTTTGTTTGAAAGTTGATAAAGTGATACATGCATGTGTTTTTAAAAATGCAGACAGTAGGAAAGGGCTAATGATGTAGATCTCCTGGCCAGCCCTGACTCCAATCTCCCCGACCTAATGGCAACCCTGTGCCAATTGGTAGTTTAGCCTTCTGGTAATTTCTTAAGGGTGAACAAACTGGGAGCATACCATGTATGATAGTTTCATTTTTCTCTAAGTATTATAGATCTTATATTTTAGCACAAATAAGTCTTAACAAAATCTTTCACAATTTCAGTAGTATTTCATTAATTTTGTTCTATTGATCGATATTTATGTTTCTATTTTGTTATTACATCAGTGTTTCATTGAACATTCATGCACACATGCCTTTGTGTTTATGTAAAAGTATATATAGGATAAATCCTTAAAATTAGCATTTTTTAGGTCATAGGGTATATTTTAATTTCTATTATTGGCATGTTGTCATTCTACGAGGTTTTTACCAGTTTATATTCCAACAAGTAGTGTATAAGGGGCCAGATTCATGACCTTTCACCTATACTGTGTGTAATATTAACTTAGTTTTTTTCCCCCAATCTAATAGAGTAAAAATTTTACTGGTTTAATTCTTTTATTTTGAAATAATATTTATATTCTGTCATTTCATAGTTGGTACTGATGTGATGAATACCCTTTGCTTATCTTTTGCATTTTATTTTTGTTTCAGTCAAGTGTTTAAATTGCAAGGGCGTTTCAGATACCTTTGATCCATATCTTGACATAACATTGGAGATAAAGGTAAATTGAATAATTATTTTAAAAAAAATACTATTAGTATTTAGTTGGATACAATCACCTTATTTATTTATTTATTTATCTGTTTATTTATTTATTTATGTATATGTGCTGCTGAGGATCCAACCCAGCGCCTTGCTTGTGCTAGGCGAGCATTCTACCGCTGAGCCACAACCTCAGCCCCTGATTAATTATTTTGATGGTTAAGTTTAAAGTCTTTTTATTACCTTTTGACTTTTCACTTAAGAAATCTTATAAAATCAAATTTTGATCCCTGTATTAGCCAAACTTAGATGTTTATTATTATTATTTTTTAAATATTTATTTTTTTAGTTGTAGTTAGATATACTACCTTTGTTTTATTTATTTTTATGTGGTGCTGAGGATCGAACCCAGGGCCTTGCATGTGCTAGGCGAGCACTCTACCCCTGAGCCATGAGCCCAGTCCAGATGTTATTATTTTTTAGAAACTGTTTTGCTTCTTGCATTTTAACTCCTATTTTTTTTTATTATTCTTGAGCTTCCATTTTTCTGATTACAGATGTAATACATGTTAATGATAAAAAGAAGCTTTGCAGATATATGTAAAACCTAGCCTTCATTATTAGTTCTTTAGTAGTTTGATATATATATACTGCTCCAGAATAGATGACTTCCTTTTCATAGAAGTGAGATTATGACTTAGTCTGTTTTTCCACTTGCTATTTTTATTTAATTCTGCTTGGAGACCTTCCACATCAGTGTGTTCTTTGGGTAGTTTTGTGGTGGTCCAGTAAGAGGATATACCATAATTCACCTATCTGGTTCCTTGCTGTTTTCCACTTTTATGCTATTCTAAATAAAGCTGTGGTGAGCAACCTCTTATTTTTGTTTTCTGTAATCTGTATTTTTAATGGAAAGAGAAATAATTTGGTGTGAAGATGTGGATATCATCGTAAAAAAACATCTTTTACATAAAAATTCATATTTGTTTTTCTGTATGAGTCTTCTGCTCACATGTTCTCTTTTCCTCCCCCTCCTTCCTGCTCTTGTTTTTCAACCTGTGGTGGTGTGTAGTGATATGGTCTTTATGCTTTTTTCTCCCAGGCTGCTCAAAGTGTTAATAAGGCATTGGAGCAGTTTGTGAAACCAGAACAGCTGGATGGAGAAAACTCCTACAAGTGCAGCAAGTATGATGGGTGGTAATTTTTTTAGTTTTTGTTGCTGGCTGTTAACAGTGCGGGTGGCAGGGAGACTTGGCTTGAAAGAATTTAGTGCATTCAAATGGCTCACTAAGCTGCCTTAAGCTTTTTTGTTGTTGTTAATACTTTTAGTAGTAGATGGATGGACACAATACCTTTATTTTATTTATTTTTATGTGATGCTGAGGATCACAGTGATGAGAACCTAGTGCCTCACACATGCTAGGCAAGCACTCTACCCCTGAGCCAACATCCCAGCCCCCTGTCTTAAGCTTTTTTCCTTCTAATTTTTTCTTTTAGTTTTCTTTTTTAAAAAAATATTTATTTTTTTAGAAGTAGTTGGATATAATACCTCAATTTTCTTGTTTATTTATTTATTTTAAAATGTTTTGCTATTAATTAATTAATTTATTTATAATTAATTAATTTATTATGTGATGCTGAGGATTGAACCCAGGGCCTCGCACGTGCTAGTCAGGCGCTCTACCGCTGAGCCACAATCCCAGCCCCTTTATTTTAGTTTTCAGTAGACCTTTATTTTATTTATTTGTTTATATATGGTGCTGAGAATTGAACCCAGTGCCTCTCACATGCTAGGCAGGTGCTCTACCACTAAAGCTATAACCCTAGCCCTGCCTTAAGCTTTTAATGCCATCTGGAGAGATGCTGTTTCCCTGTCCACTAGAGGCCAGAACATGGAATGTATAATGTTTCCACTCTTTCAAGGTGTGCAGCTTTGTGCCTTTGGAGGACTGGCACCTTAGTCTGGGGCCAGTTGGATGGGAGAAAGCAAGCTAATATCATCCATACTCCACACATTAGTGTCTTCTCCCAGGACCTCACAGCGTGGGATAACAGTTTGTCAAGCAGCATTTTCATTGACTTTCCTGTTAGAAAAAGGTTGAGAATAGGGTGGGGGTCACTTACTCTCAGAAGAGCTAAGGATCTCTTTCTCTTTTATCAGTACTCAGAGTGTGGGGTAATGTCTAATTTAGATTATTCAGTAATATATTTGTCCAGGCAATAAAAAGAGCCTGTTTTAAGAAGGCCCTGTTTTCATATATTTTAGGTAGATTTCTACTTTATAGTCAGGTAATATAGGAAATCTTTTTTTCATTATGTATTTATTATGGGGGTGGGGAGAGAAGGCTCCCTTATCGCCAATACTATGGCACTTTCTCCTGTTTTAAATTTCTAGTCCTTACTTTTTCCGTTTATATCTAGACAAAATATTTTATTTATTTTGTGTGGTGCTGAAGATTGAATCCAGTGTCTCACATGTGCCAGGCAAGCACTCTACTACTGAACCACAACCCAGCTCCTTTTATATCTGGATAGGGTTTGCTATCTGCTGTAACAGAACTATGCCAGCTTAAAAAAAAAAATTATTTTTTTTTGGGGGGGGGTGGTACTGGGTTTTAAACCCAGGATGCTCAGCCACTAAGATACATCCACAACCCTTTTTATTTTGGGACAGGCTCTTGTTAAATTGCAGAGGCCGGTCTTGAACTTGCCATCCTCCTGCCTCAGCCTCCTGAGTTGCCGGGATTATAGTTGTATACCACTGTCCTGGTTCTTATTAGCTTTTAAGTTTTTATAAATTTTTTATTATTATCATTTTTTCAGTGCTGGGGGCTGAATCCCAGAGCCTCATTCATGCTAGGCAAGTGCTCCATTATTGAGCAACACCCCCAGCCTGAGTTAACCTATTGGTAGTCTACATGGCTTGGTATTTTGGCATTGTCCTATTTTTCCTTCCTTCATGCTTTTAGGCAGTTTGGTATTTTTAATTTAATATTTTCACTATTGATTTAAGGTGTTGGTGTTTCTCATCTTAGTATCCTTATTTTGGAATCTTCATTTAGGATGTTGTACAAAAATAACTAAGGAAAGACTAAAACAAGGGAAAAATTCATATTTTTTTAATCGTTTGTTTCTATGTGTTTCAAGGTGTAAAAAGATGGTTCCAGCTTCAAAGAGGTTCACTATACATAGATCTTCTAATGTTCTTACACTTTCTCTGAAACGCTTTGCAAATTTTACTGGTGGAAAAATTGCTAAGGTATGTTAATAATCTTTTATGTGAAACCTTACAAGGCTTACGTGTTGGTAACTATTAAAGGTTATAAATGACCTAAGTGAATAATCATTAGATCAATTTTCTGAGTTCTTCCAGCATTTGATAGCTGGGGAAAAAAAGAGAAAAAAAAAAAGATCAAATAATTGTGCCAGTAGTTTGGACAATGTGCTTATGAGTGTGTGTGTTTTAGTGTACGCTTCAGCTGGCTGGACTTTCTAGTGATAAAATTGGTAACTGTTATCTGCATTTGGGCTTCATAGTCAGTTCTTTGGTATCCATGGTAATGAGGGGATACAGGGACAGCTTGTATAATTTGAAATCCAAAGATGTCCCTGTTAGATCTTAGTTCATTTTCTTGTTTATTTTCTGATTTTTTCAGTACACTGAATTTTCCTGTTTTCTTTCCACTTACTGAAATTTGAATATGGTAAAAAAAATTCAACAGCATGCAAGAGAAATAAATAATATATTCCAAAATTATTTTTATTTAAAATAAAAATAAGTTGTGATTAATGTCCAGAGTTGTCATTTTGTTATTGTCTGGTAGATTTGATGGATTCACAGAACATGGATCCTTCCTTGATTCTTCCTTGTTGAAGGGAAATAAAAGACAGAGGGGCTGCCTTCAATGCTCTTAGGTTCAGGTGTTTTCTAGGTTAATTGTGTCCTTTGAAAAGGTGGCTAAATGCATTGGGGTTTTGCTGTAACATCACAGCATTGCAGTATCCTTTGAGTCTTCTTCCAGGTCACTCTAAATGTTCTGTACTTGAATATATGGATGGTGTGTTTCTTTAGAAATGACATTCTTTTTTCCTGTTCTCATTTCTGCTTAGGATGTGAAATATCCTGAATATCTTGATATTCGTCCATACATGTCTCAACCAAATGGAGAACCAATTATTTATGTTCTGTATGCAGTGCTAGTGCACACTGGTTTTAATTGCCACGCTGGCCATTACTTCTGTTACATAAAAGTAAGTTGTATGGATTTGCTAATAGTCAGTTATTTCACATATGTACCAAAAGATAGCTCTAGTGTTCTTGGGAGTAAAAAGTAGAACTTAAATGGTTAACCTGTGAAACTTAGGTTAACCTGTTGTTCTTTAATGTCTCTTGACTGTGTTTCTTGTGAATATAACTAATCTCTCTATTGACTCTTTTGCAGGCTAGTAATGGCCTCTGGTATCAAATGAATGATTCCATTGTATCTACCAGTGATATTAGATCGGTACTCAGCCAACAAGCTTATGTGCTCTTTTATATCAGGTATTGTCATGAAAACAAGTTGTTAAATTTTTTGTTCCACCATTTCTTTTCCTCTCATCAACAATTTTTGAGCCTTCCCACCCCCGCCACCTTTTTCTTTTTTTTTTCTGGTGGTACTGGGGATTGAATTTAGGGGTTCAGTCTATCACTGTACTATATCCCCTGCCCTTTTTAGTTTTTATTTTGAGACAGGGTCTAAGTTGCCTAGGCTGGCCTTGAATTTGCAATTCACCTGCCTTGGCCTTCTGAGTAGTTAGAATTAACTTAAAATTGACCAATGTGTCTAGCCAGTTTTAAGTTATTTATTTATTTATTCTTTCTAATGATAGTTTGAAGATTAGCTCTGCCAATGGCCTGGAGAGTGAGCAGGTTGTTTTTGAGTATGGATTATGAATTGGCCTTAGTTTCCAGCTCTTTTGGCAACTCAGCACTAAAAGGTAGAGAGGAAAGGAAAGATGACAATTTAGAAGGGTAGCTTATGCTGCTGGTGGCAAAACAAGTGGGCCAGGGGCCACTAAGGGCAGTGGGTGGCCTTGGAAAGGGGTCTCTGAGCACCCTTTGTGATCACAGCCAGCATCACCCCACTGCTGAGCTTAGGCTGCCAGTCACTGGGCCAACACTAGCACCAGTGCTCGGGGCTGTCCTGTTGTAGCTGTAAGATCTGACTTATCAGTTCCATTTTTTGCAGAAATCTGATGAATGCTCCAGTGTGCCTCTTGGGGTTTTTTGTTTTGTTTTGTTTTTTGTTGTTGTTGTTTATTTTTATTGTTTTCTTCTGCAATACCAGAAATGGAATCCAGGGCATTGAGCAGGCTGGCCTAGCACTCCGTCCCTCAAGGTGTCCCTTTTTAATAGCTGACAATTAAGAATATCCTAAAATGTCCAACAGTAGCAAAATGATCATAGATAGCCATGTGTTGAAATATTACACAGTTGTAGTTTTTCTTTTGTTTTTCTTAGTACTAGGCATTGAATCCAGGAGCAGTCTACCACTGAGCCACATCCTCTGCTCTTTTGATTGATTGATTGATTGATTTTTTGGTACCAGGGATTGAACTCGGGGATACTTGACCACTGAGCCACATCCCCAGCCTTATTTTGTATTTTATTTAGAGACAAGGTCTCATTGAGTTGCTTAGCATTTCACTGTTGCTGAGGCTGGCTTTGAACTCGAGATCCTCCTGCCTCAGCCTCCTGAGCCACTGGGATTACAGGTGTGTGCCACTGTGCCTGGCTGATTTTTTTGTTTTGAAACAGCGTCTTGCTAAGTTGCCTAGGCTGATTTTGAACTTGAAATTCTCTTGCTGAGAGTGATTTTTTTTTTTGGTACCAGGATTGAACCCAGGGGTGGAGTACTTAAACACTTAGCCACATCCCTAGCCTCTCAAAATTTTTTGAAAGGATCTTGCTAAGCTTCGGAGACTAGCTTTGAACTTGCAATCCTCCTGCCTCAGCCTCCTGAAGTGCTGGGATTATAGGCATGTGTGCTATCATGCTCAATTGAGAGTGATTTTTTTAATAAAGCCCCCTGCCCCTTTATGCTTTAGGAATACTAAATACTGGTGAAAACCAACAATACGAATGAAAACGGGTGGGGGGCGGCGATGATCCCGCCACTAGATAGAATGGGAGCTACTGCTGAGGGTCAAGGTTGAGGAGGTGGTGTTGGAAAATGCCATTTTAATTACCTAGTTGCCCCTGTTGTGTCCTGATCTGAGCAACTAACATTGACCTAAAGAAAAAAACATGTATAGCTCTGTACAGAGTGACATAAAATCACTCTTTTGTCCATTAGTTTCTGAGGGGTTAAGTGTTGTTGAATTTGTGAGTTTCTTCTAAGGAGATGTCCTTCCTCACCCTAAGTCATATGACTCTTTGTCCTCAGGTCCCATGATGTGAAAAATGGAGGTGAACTTACTCATTCCACCCATAGCCCGGGCCAGTCCTCTCCCCGCCCAGTAATTAGTCAGCGGGTTGTTACCAACAAGCAGGCCACAACGCCAGGGTTTATTGGACCACAGCTTCCTTCTCACCTGATAAAGGTAACATTCATAGGTGCAATATAACTGTTATGTTAATTTTAAAAATGTACCCTTGAACCCTGAAGTTAACATTGCCGTAGTTGCTATGTCCTCATGCACAACTAAATCTCTTGTTAAAGTTGATTCAAGCCCTTTATTACAAATAATGGCAAGTATACAGAAACTTTAGCATGAATAGAATGATCAAGAAGATGGTATGGATGTGAGTATATTTAAATGTCAACTCCCACTGTGGACTCCTGCTCCATGGGTAAGATATTTGGGTTCTTAATGTTGGATACCAGAAAAGTGACAAAAACTGGTCAGTTAACAGGCCCTCAGTTATTCCAGAACATCCCAAGAAACAAAAAATTACCATAAGTATTCACAACAAGTTGCCTGTTCGCCAAGGTCAGTCTCAGCCTAATCTTCACAGCAATTCTTTGGAGGCTCCTAACAAGCCTGTTCCCTCTTCTACCATTACTAATTCTTTTGCAATACAGTCTACCTCTTTTACAAAGGGTCCACGTAGCTACTTCAGGTGTGTGGCATTTTATGTCTGCTGTCCACTTGAATTTGATCTTGCATCTGATGGTCCTGTCAGGAGGACTGCTTGTGTACCTCTTTTGTATGAAGCAGTATGCAGAACGAGGCCTGACTTGCCAGACTCACAGGAAATTGTGAGCAGCCTGTTGGGACTAAGCCATGTCACTGGTGTTGTGGTGTTCTACAGCTTCCAAGTTGAGTTTAATTTGAATTATCAGATTTTTCTAGTTAGATGCTTTTTTTAAAAAAAAAAAAAAAAAGGACATTAGGTAGTAGTAGAATCCAATGCCTTTGTGAGCTGGCTTCTGAGTTGGGGTCTTCTTCAGAGTTGACATTAGGGCATTGGAAAACCAGAGTGTACATGACTCTGGAAGGGAACAGCTGTAATTGGTTTATTAAATTGTTTGTTGGGTTGGTTTTTACCATGAAACCTTCCAATGTTAAAATAACAACTAATTCAAATATTTAAGAAAACATTGTGAAAGACTCAACATGATTTCATCTGTAAACCAGCTTTCATCCAGGTCCTCACAGGGATTTAGCACCAGTAGTGGGAACCTGGAGCAATAGACCTGCACAAGTAGAACCGGGAGATGACACGGGTTGGTGGCTGGGGTTGTCTAGTGCGGGTTGTTCTAGCCTGCCTTAGCTTTGAGGCCAGTGGTAATTTCTGCTTCCTGGTACTTTTGTCTTTGTGTGTGGGCCTCCCAGGAAACCTAGCTGAGGAGAATATGTGTGACTTTCTCAGCGTGACCTGGGAAATAGAAAGAAGTTGGTCTGGGGATTGTGATCTGGCAAACATGTTTTTTTATTAATTAATTGTCAGAAAATTAGGGCCTTTTAAGGTGTATGTGGGTTGCAGCAGATGAAAGAGTGGTATTTCTAGACATGTGAAATCTATAAGTTATAACAGGCCCACATGGGAAGTGCCCTCAGCCAAGTTGGACCATGTTCTTGGAGCACTGACATAGGTATGTTTTTTTTCCTTCCAGAATCCACCTCACTTGAATGGAACTGGGCCATTGAAGGAAACACCAAGCAGTTCCATGTCAAGTCCTAATGGAAATCCCAGTGTCAACAGGGCTGGTCCTGTTAATGCTTCCACTTCTGTTCAAAACTGGTCAGTTAACAGGCCCTCAGTTATTCCAGAACATCCCAAGAAACAAAAAATTACCATAAGTATTCACAACAAGTTGCCTGTTCGCCAAGGTCAGTCTCAGCCTAATCTTCACAGCAATTCTTTGGAGGCTCCTAACAAGCCTGTTCCCTCTTCTACCATTACTAATTCTTCTGCAATACAGTCTACCTCGAATGCATCTACGATGTCAATTTCTAATAAAGTAGCAAAACCCATCTCTCCGAGTGAATCCTGCTCCAAGCCAGTGATGAATGGGAAGTCTAAGCTGAGCTCCAGTGTGCTGGTCCCCTATGGTGCCGAGTCATCCGAAGAGTCTGACGAGGAAACAAAGGGCCTGGCCAAGGAGAATGGTGTGGGTACAGTGACGAGCTCTCACTCTGCTGGTGAAGAAGCCGAAGATGATGAGGCTTCTCAGCATGAGCTTCAAGAACCTATCACTTTAAATGGTGCTAATGGTGCAGATGGCAACCCAAAAGAAAATGGCCTATCATTTGAAGGTGCCAGCTGCCAAGTCCAGCCTACTATACACTCAGAAAATCCCTTTTCAAAAGCAAATGGTCTTCCTGGAAAGGTGAGTGAGTGGAAGAGGCTTTGCTTTGAGTCTCATTCTTGGCCATTCACTTGGCCAGACTTAAGTGAACATGGAGCTGGCAGCTAGAATTAAAATGTCTTTGTTTTTCATTGTAGTTGATGCCTGTTCCTTTGCCATCTCTCCCAGAAGACAAAATCTTAGAGACTTTCAAACTTAGTAACAAAGTAAAAGGCTCAACAGATGAAACAAGGTAAGAAAAGAATGAACTAAGAGGAAATGAACTTCATGGTATGACATCCAATAATGTCTGTAGAAGTCTTATATTGAACAATTTGAACCCTGGAATGATTTGGGGATTGAAGCCAGAACCACTCTCTGAGTGAGCTACATCCTCAGCCCATTTTATCTTTAATTTTTTAAAAACATTTGAGACAAGGTCTTAATAAATTGCCCAGGCTGGTCTCAATCTCATGATATCCCCACCTCAGCTCTCCTGGATAGCTAGAATTGCAGATATGTACACTTCATCCAGCTGAATCTTGGAATGACTTGCATAACAGTCTATAGGATTTATTATTTGCATTTTAGAAGAGTAAGAAAAAAATGCGCTCTGTGGGATTCAGTCATTACAGCATGGCACAATCCCGCTGTTGATGCCCTCTCTGATCAGTGATGCTTTGGGTCCACTTCTGAATCTGATGTCCAGTGCCATCTTTCTTTTTTTTTTAATATTTATTTTTTAGTTGTAGTTGGACACAATGCCTTTATTTTCTTTATTTATTTTTATGTGGTGCTGAGGATCGAACCCAGGGCTTTGCACGTGCTAGGCGAGCGCTTTACCACTGAGCTACAACCCAGCCCCCAGTGCCACCTTTCTAATGACAGACAAGCAGGTGAAGCTGTGTTAAGGTTATAGGGCAGGGGTTTGCAACTCTATCAGAAAGCAAGTGTTCTTTGAAGGCCCCTCCAGAAATCTAAAATTCAAAGAAAATATATCCTTCCTTGACACTCAATTAAAAAGAAAAAAAAAGTCAATGTATCACCAGGTGCAATAGTTTGTGCCTATAATCTACTCAGGAGTCTGAGGCAGGAGGATTGCAAATTCAAGGCCAGCCTCAGCAACTTAGATCCTGTCTCAAAAACAAAACAAATGGCTGGGATGTATGTAGCTCAGAGGCAAAATGCCTAGTGTTGAGTCCCATGTCCTGTCCCTCCACAAAATTCAGTATATTGACCTGACTGTAACTTATCTCAGGAATAAAATGAAAGGGGTTTGAAATGCACTTTCGGTGTGAAAACCACCAGGTAAGGCTGCACCAGGATATGGAGTACTTAGGTGTTGGGATGTGTGCACAGGTGCACTGTGCACCTGGCTGTTTACAATGCAGCTTGAAGTCAGCTAAGTGCCATGCACAGATTCACCATCAGGAGTACCAGGCTCTCTTGATGAAAACTTTTGGTGAAGTTCTTATCAAATCATAGCATGACCATCCATCTCTTGCTTTATATCGTAATTGAATTGCTAGAAAATTTAGTATTTTTGAAAACTGTGCTAATAACACAACTGGTATTTTTACCCTTGCAGATGTGAGAACATGTGGGATAGAGGATTCTTTCTCCATGTGTGGCACCTGTGCCATTGGGGTTCCCCCATCACTCTGGCTACCCCAGAAAATACCTGCCAGCTTCCCCAACTGAGAACCTGTGTTAGGGAGGTTTAATTGGGTCCTTTAGGCAAAGAATACTCATTCTTAAAGACAGAATAGCTGGAACACTCTGTCTTGTACAGTGATTTTTCCGTGTTTTTTCTAGTCTAGTTTTGTGGTCCTCATCTTGATGTGCCTGGGAATTATTATAGATGACACTAACAAGCTCATGATGTAGTATGGCCAATCATGTACTGCTTTATGTGCTGAGCTCTGGGAGTCCTCTTCTACAGTGTCTCCATGGTGACTTCACAGGTCACAAGGGTTATCTCTAAAAAGTAGAGATCACTGGTATTTTTTTATTTTCTGGCAGCTGTCACTAGCCTTGGGAATATGAGCCAGGAGCTCTTCAGCTGCTAAGGGTGGATGAATTTAACACAGAAAGTCCTAAAGCCTCAGTAAGTTCTCCTCGGCTTCCATAATTCAGGGAGTTTCTGGTTCTATTTGGAGGTAGCTCCCCTGCCTCAGAAGCTCCAAGACAAAGGGAGAAGGGATCTAGAGAACTTAGTGACCCCAGCATAATTTTTTGTTATCGTTGTTTAGATTTACTTTTTTAAAAACATTTATTTTTTTAGAAGTAGTTTGACACAATACCTTTATTTTATTTATATATTTATTATCTTTATTTTTTTTTTTTATGTGGTGCAAAGGATTGAACCCAGGGCCTCGCACATGCTAGACGAGCACTCTACTGCTGAGCCACAACCCCAGCCCTAGATTTACTCCTTAAGAAGAATTAGAAATATATGGATATAGGAAGATTCTAGAACTGCAGAATCTTTGTTGCTGAAAAATAGGATAGGAGATAGGCTAAATACAAATTTTATTCAATAAAGGGAAAAAGAAAATTCTGATTTTTAGAGATAATAAATAAGCCTGTTACTAGGTTTCAGGCAGATATACTTAAAGTTATAAAATATTTAGCAAACATAGCCAATGACAAAAACCTGTACAGAAGTCAGGCTAACTCCTGGTTTGTTTCTCTGTTTTGGTGGGGCTGCAGTTTGACTGGAACAGAGATAAGTCCAGCTGAGGAGCCTGCTGCAGAGCCGGAAGTTAGCAGTACCACTGCTGGTTCTCACGAAAAAGTGGAGACAGTCACAAGCCTGAGCAGCAAGTTAAAGAAGGCTTTGCCACCCTCCGACCCCAACACCAAATCTACCAAAGAAGAAGTCTCTGAAAACATTTCAGCAAAACCTGATGAGTCCTTGCCCATTATCAACAATGTTTGTCACACCAACAAGAATCCCATGGGGGATGATCAACTTTCTAACCTGTGTGACACTGAGAATCTTACAAATGACCAGAGCAAACCATCCCAAGAGGTAAAAGGAATGTTAATTGAGAGTCCACGGGACTCTGCACCAGTGGAAATAGTGGAGAAGTTGAGCCCAACTCCCTCAGTACGTTCAGAAGACGAATGTGAGCATAAACTCCTAGTTTACCTCAGCAGAGACAGATGCAGGGATATAGAAGATCCTTCCAGAAGCACAGGCGTGTCTGCAGATGCATTGACCTCTCCCCAGCCAGACAGCAGGACCACAGGAGCCCACTCAGATGGGGGCGCCGAGCATAGCAGTGGTGAGAGATGTGATGAAAACAAGGTTGGACAGAAAGTTCAGGATCATTCTGCAGTTAAGGAAAAAATCGGTAGCCTCAGAAAAGTTGATCGAGGACATTATCGTAACCGTAGAGATCGTTCCTCCAGTGGAGAACACGCAAGGGAAAGTAGGAGCAAGACAGAGGACCATTATCACAAAAAGCGGCACTATGTTAGAGAACGGGCCAAGCAGGAGCGCCACCAAGTGGAGCACTGTAACGGGAGTCAGCACCCCTTGTGCCACAGCGAGCGGGTCAGCCCCAGTGAGCGCCGCTCCCTGGGCAGGTACAGCTATCACCACTCTCGCAACAGAGGTGGGTCAGACCAGGACTGGGCCAGACACCACCACTCAGAGAGTGAGCACGCCTGGGGCCGGGAGAAGTACTACCCTGAGAAGATGAGGTGGGACAAGTGTAGGTATTACCATGACAGGTACATCCCCTACGCAGCCAGGGAGCCGAGGGAGTGGAGGCCTCTACACAGCAGCGGCCGGGAGCATGACCGAGCACGGCTGCACAAGGACTGCTACAGGGGCAGGAAGGGCTGGGAGCCTCCTGCCAGGGGCAAGGAGCGGCACCACTTGCACAGTGTGCGAGTCGGGGCAGCCCCTGCCCTTCCTCTGCACCCTGCGAGGTACCCCCAGGAGAAAACTGCACTGGGAGCTGAAGACAGCAGTTTCAGCCTCTCGGATCGGTTTCATGAACATGAAACTGTAAAGTCGCGGAAACGGAGGTACGAGATCATAGAAAATAATGACAGTCACTTAGAAAAGAAAGCCCACAGAAGCTTACAGAAGGACCCTTTAGAAGAGCCTAAGGTGAAGAAGCACAAGAAATCAAAGAAGAAAAAGAAATCCAAAGACAAACATCGAGAGCGCGACTGCAGGTGAGGATGGTGGCTCACTTGGAGCAAAGCAGAGGCGCTGCGCCCACGGAGCTCCCCGGGAGCTGCAGGCCTCCGGCACTTCTCACAGTAACCAGCAAAGGGCTGTGTCAGTTGCACTGGTTTGATTTGTATTCTTCATCTCTGTGGGGTTTGAGATTCCGCTATTTCTACACATTTCTAAAACTGCTGCTTTTGAGCTGCATTTGTATCGTAATGGCCAACAGCCTCATTTCTTAAATGATGTTGCCTTCTCAGTTAATGCTTTATAACCCTCCTAAGAGTAAGTGAAATGTAAGGTGGGAATCTCTGTCTTCAAGGTTGGTTTTTATTTGATGTAGTTATATTTTCATATCTGTTACATTTTCTTGAAACTTAGGAACAACAAGATAGGCAGAAAACAGAAGGCCACAGTTTCTTTGATATTTGCCTGCCTGCCTAGAGTATATCATTTATTTCCTCGGCCTGCCTTTGTCTATTTTTCTGTCTCTGTTTCTCAGCTTAAATCCTAAATGTGTTTATATTTTTAAAAAGCAGGTTGGCAGTTGTCTTTAAAATGACTGATACATGCTGTGATGAGCACGTGTGACCAGTAGGGTTACTTTGTACTTTAGTTGCCAAAAGCCATATGTAAACAGGCAGCAGGTATATGAGGGGAAAGGAAGTCACAAGCTTCTTCCCTTCTCTGTTCCTGAGACACATGACAAAATGCTATTTTCCTTCAGTCATCGGTTTTAGGAGAAGTTAGCCAGGTACCCCCATGGTGGTCTGGCCACAGCCCCAGCTCCTGAGTGCTGCTGGAGGTGGGTGGAGGTGGCCAGATGTGGGGTCCAGGTTGGCTAATTTTGACCCTGGGATTAAAAAGCATTATAGTGCAAATGGACAACACATTTGTAACTAGGTAAGGATTTTACCTGTGTCTGCACACTGAAGTCCTGAGTGGGCATAAAAGCCCAGGGCCAAGTCCTATGTGAGGTGCTTCTGTGTTTTGGTTGTTGAATTCTGGCTGCTTCTTCTACAGGCATCAGCAAGATTCCGATCTTTCAGTAGCGTACTCTGATGCCGACCTCCACAGACACAAAAAGAAGAAGAAGAAAAAGAAGAGACATTCAAGGAAGTCAGAGGACTTTGTGAAAGATTCAGGACTACACTTGATGAAGGCCATGAGCTATGAGACTGTCAACCATTTCCGGAGAACAGAGGGCAGTTTTCTACTCACCGATGGCCTGCCTCTGGAAGGCATCGGACCTTTCCAGGAAAAAACAAAGCATTTAAGGATGGAAAGCAGGGCTGACAGGTGCCATCTGTCTGAGTATGGCCAGGGTAAGAGAAGATAGTTTGGAATTAAGAAGATAGAAACTCTTAATAAATTTGTTTGGAAAAGGTGATTGGAACAATGAAGAGGAGCACTGAGCTTGGTTAGAGTCAATGGGGCTGGAGCAGAGGTTGGCAAAATTCAGCCCTCGTGCCAATGCCTTTGCATAACCTGCAAGTTTAGAATGGCTTTAACATTTTTTAAAATTCCAAAGAGTAATAATGTGTTTCATATGAATACTATGTGAAATTCAAATTTTAATGTCAACTCTGCTTGGGGCGTGACCAGTTTGACTGCTTTGGTGCTGCTCAGCAGAAATGAGTAGTGGCAGCAGAGACCTTGTGGCCTGTGAGCTGAAAGTTTTCATCATTCTCTGGCCCTTTAGAAGGTTTGCCAACCCTGTGCTGGACCACCAGGTTTCACTTTCTTGCATAAAGACCATGCTGCTGTCATAGAGACTTTGACACATCATCTTGGCTTTTTGATTGTCTAATGTGATTTGTGGGGGAGATCTAGGCGGGAGGCAGCGACCCTTCCCTACAGTGGTCCTTAAGTTAGTGTTCAATTACTGGTTGAAAAACAAATGGTCCCCAGCAAGTAGGAGTGAAAAAGAGAACCAGGAGCTGGGAGCACTGAAGAGAGTCTTGCAGAGGTGGTGAGGCAGACTAAACTTGGAATCTTCCTGTCTCAGCCTCCTGAGTGGCTGGGACTACAGGCATGTGCCACTGCACCTGGCAGTGTTTTTTAATTTTTTTTTTTTTTTTTTTTTGTACTGGAAATTGAACCTAGAGGTGCTTTACCACCGAGATACATCTCTAGAACTTTTGTTTTGTTTTGAGACAAGATCTCCTAGTTTGCTGAGGGTCTCACTAAACAGTAGGTTTTGAACTTGTGGTCTTGAACTTGTGGTCCTTCTACAACAGCCAGTCACTGGGATTATAGGCACGTGCCACTGCATCCAGCTCTATGTGTTTTTGTTTTTGTTTTTAATATGTATTGTTTAGTTGTAGTTGGACTCAGTACCTTTATTTTATTCATTTATTTTTATGTGGTGCTGAGGATCGAACCTAGGGTCTCGCATGTGCGAGGCAAGTGCTCTACCGTTGAGCGACAACCCCAGCCCTCTTTTAAGAAGTTAATTATGTACATTTTAAAATTGGTTTCACGTTAATATTTCAACAATTTGGGGAAGGGGATTGGTGAGGATTGGTCCTTTTCTGACCTCTGTGTGGTACTTAAGGATTAAGTGAGGAGATGAGTAGTATTTAAAGAGTAAACAGTGAGGTATATTTATAATCTATGTATTAGGCAGGATCCCAGAATTGTTGCCAAAATCTTCTAGCCTGGCTCCCAGAGATAGCTAGCAAGGGAAGGTAGGTTGAGTGCTAACCTCAGTGTTGCTATGGCATTAGGTGGCCGATTCCACTCATCCATTCCAAGTAGTGCAGTCAGGCTGTGTGTCTGAGTGGTGGCCCTGTGTTTCTATCCCCAGTCCAGTGGCACTGATGACTAGTTTGTAGCCATGTCTCTGTTACGAGCACAGACTGAGGGCCCAGGTGATGGGCTGCCTGTCTGGCCTAGGTGGCCAGGCCCTCTTGTACTGGCTGAGGACTAACATCCCTTCTGCTCTCTCCCACTCCCTTCTACATGTTCCTCTGCCCTGGCTTTTGACTACCTGCCTCTCTTCCAAGCTTCTGTCCTTGGGCTCCATTCAACTCTCAGTTAACTTCTGTGGCCTGAGATCCGTCCTAATAGGAAAATGCTCAGCAATTTGATGGGGCTGAGGAGGGCCTGTTCCTTCAGGGATGTGGCTCTGGGGGCATGCTTCTGCTGGGTCCTGTCACTATGTGAACTTATTTTTAGTAGGACATTTGGAGAAATAGCCATGTGCCAGCCTCTGTTTGCTCTTCCTCTTTGTAGAATTGATTTCAGGTGACTGATATTAAACTACAGAAAATGGATTCTAGTTTCAAATCCCCCAATTTGCACTCAGAGCACAAGCACTAAACATTTTGTACAATCATTATTAAAATCCATTTCCTAACCTTTGCCTTCCAGGTGATTGAAAACTTGGCCTCAAAACAAAAAATTCACTAGTTATGGTAAGCCCTTTTCCTATCTCTACATTTTGTCATTGTAGAGCACTGAGAGAGGACACAGATCAAGTTTTAAATCTGAAGAAGGGCCTTATGGTGCTGTTGCAGCACCCTGGCTGGGGCAGTGGCCTGGGGTGGTCCAGCTGTGGGGGTCTCAGCTCCCTTTAGCCAGGCCAGCCTGGGCAGCAGACACTTCTTAGACCTGGAGATGTGTTTAGATCCCTTTTCCTTATTGGCTTTCCTAGGACTGACCAGGAGGATGCGTGTCACTGAAGTCACTCCCTATCCCTTTCCCTAATCTTAAAAAATGCCAGCGAAACTCAGAAGGAACAGACTGCCATTTGACTGGATTTCCCCAACTCAGACCTGCCATGTGTCTGTCCTGAGAGCCAGGCCCCAGGATCCCTATACTTGCACCACCATCCCTGCACACACCCAGGGCAGAGGTATAGAAGTCCTGCTCCCCTAGCAGGGTGTCAGAGCTGTGGCCATGTCATATTAATGCTTGGCTTTTATTCATGGTACTGTACTCTGCACTTGCTGAGGGAAAGGTAACAGTGAACCATTTGGCCCTTGAAATTTTGTCCAAATGTGTCTATCATGTCAAATCAGTAAGGAAGATTTTAAATGAATTTTAAAGTGATTATATCTACAGGAGAATTATCTGCAGTTAATTAACAAGCCTTACCAGTGTCTCCTCAAGGGAAAGAGCTAGGTCTAAGGAAACTAAAACTCCTCCCAAGTGAAGGTGGGAGCTGAGGATTGGGGCAGTCTAGCAGCAGTCTGGGCTCCAGGCAGGCCCAGCTGGGCCCAGCAGATGGCGCCTGCCTGGCCTCGCCACCAGCCCACGCCTCTAGAACTGCCTGGCATTTCTGGGTTCCTTTACTGTGATGGGAAGGCAGAGTGACCATTTCAAGGAAGAAGAGCTTCCCCAAAACCCTGGGGGGAGCCGCTGACAGGGTTTTCTGAAAAGGAGGGCCCATCTTGGCCTCCGTTCCAAACTAACGCCTGCGCCTCTTGTCTTTCAGATTCAACGTGTTCAACAGAAGCCATCCCCAACCCAGCTTAAATTATAAACATAGAAAATAACTTTGTTCAAATCTGCGTGGTGCTTCTTTAGTAAATATGTACAGATTTTACCATGGAGAACTTACTTTTTTTTGTTTTGTTTTGGTTTTTTTTGTTTGTTTGTTTGATTTGTTTTGTTTTTGTTTTTACCTTTTCTTAATTGCCCTTATTCCAAATGGATGAACACTTTCTACAACTGCTGACCACTGTAAGATACCGTGTATATATATATCACAGTGAAAATAATGCCCTGGAATAGAACATCTCAAATGCTGCTTAATTACAGACTCAGGTTGATTACTTGTATTTCATGTAATGTTCCTCCAAGTTAGACATCTGGTGCAAGACCAACCGGGAAACCATGGAATTATTAAAAGTACAAACTGACAGTGTGTATATTTAATTTAAAGACTTATTTAAATATTCACAAGCTCTCAACTAAACTTTTCGAGGGCAGTCTGTTTTCTGTAATGTCTGATACTAGAAACTAATTTGCTTCATATTTTAGTTGTATTCAAGATTTGAAAATGTATTTTATAGACAAGTTCTGTTTTTGAACTTTGTGGAACTATTCCAATCAATTTACCAGTTATGATGAGTATTTACATTATGAATGTATAATCTAAACATTATTTGTACAGCCTACAGTATGTTTTTATTACATAACACTTTTTTATACAGCGTCCTTGTCTTGACTATATGGTATTGGAGTCTGAGTTGTCAGCTTGGTCCCTTAAAGTTTCTAGTTACAGACAAAAATCATACTGTGATTTTATTTTTAATATGGATATGCTATCAAACTGTGATACACTTATAATTCACTGGTCCTGCATCAGGAGATGGAGTGGGGAAAACTGTATTTAATACAGTTTGTATCTGAATAATCTGTATGGTTTATACAGTTTGTGTTGTTCAGAGATGTCTAAAGTTTGATCTTTGTTTTTTTAAAGATTGAAAAAGCACTTGCCCCACTGTAAATAATACAGCATGTAAAATTTATATAGTATATAAATGGCAGCAAATTAAACATTTTGTGTCTTGTTTTTTACTCCTGTTTTCCCCATTTGCTTGCGGCATGTCTCACTGACTTCTTCTGCAGTCACTGTAGATCCACAATGCTCCTGCCACATGGTCTGTCAGTAGGTGCCTCCAGCCAGGCTGTCAGGCCTGGAACAGAGGTACAGACCCCAGGAATTGGTCAGGGAAAATCAGGCAGTGGTTTGCTGGACCCAACATATTTCTAATTTGAAGAACCAAGTCTTAGACAATCTTAATAATACATTTGATTTTTATTTAGTGAACACAATATCTACAAGAGTTTTGACAGCCATATACCCTCCAATTTTTACTAACTTCACTCTGCAACAAAATATCAATAGATATTTTGATATCAATGTCAATAGAATATTTCTTCATGCAAGTTGTGGGAAATATATACATTGAATAACAAAACACTCCAGAAATCAATATATATGTACATTATTTACATACTGACTACATTTATTGTAAATATGTCTTCTAAGAAAAAAATAAGAAAATGAAAAATCACAACTTGTGGTTTCTGGTCTATAATAGACCTAACTTCTCAGCAAAGCACATCTGTGTAGATAAATGCATTTGTAACTCTGAAAATAGGCATTGCTTTACATGAAGCAGTCAATGCTGTTTCATCTACAAACAGCTCCTCTTATGACTGTTTGGTACCACATGAACTGCTCAAAAGTGTTCTGGACCCTGAAGACATAGGTGCATGTCTGGGTCCAGAGTCAGTCCAGTTAAACCTCAAGTGATGGCCAGGACCCAGGGAGCCGGGCTAGAGGGGCTGTGGAAGTTGCAGTCTCCAGCCCAGGGTTCCTCTTCTCTGCCTACTGCCCTTTGTCTCTGGAGGAAACTTTGTCTTTGGCCAGAATCGGGGCTAATCCAAGCACTGAGTGTAGACATTGGGGTGGAGAGGAGGATGAGCATGACTGAGACTGAAACTGCTGTCCCCCTCTTCTAGGGTGTCCTGGTGGAGGCCAGGTGTGTATTTGTCACTAGACTGGAGGATTTTCTAGACCTGGCCTAACAACTCATCCACTGCCTTTGGGTTAATACTGTCACAACAAAACCTCAGATTAGGCAAGTTCACGTAATACTCTTTGAGGGAAGTTACTTAGATTCTAAGTACGAAGGCCTTCTGGGATTGATCCCGGGTGACAGCCATCAGGCAAAGCTTGCTCACAAGATGACTGTGCAAACAAGATTTACCATCAGGTGACTTCATGCTCACTTAACATCCCAAACCAGAAAGCTCCATGTTCCCAGGGCTGTACCTGGGTTAGACAGGAGAGAGGAAATGGCTTGTCCACATGTGACAAACTGAACTGGCCAGCGCTGCAGCAGTCCTGGTTGGGGCCAGCCCAGTGATGGCCTGGCAGAGCTGCAGCATCAGTGCTTGGCCAGGGGTCCAGGCAGCACTTGCATGTGGAAGACTGGAGGCCAAGTTGCATATACACCAGTCAGGCATTTCAAGGGAGACTTGCCCAAACACTAAAGCTTCAGATTTGAGGTATTAGTAAAGTAACAAAGCCTAGAAGCTCGGGTATAAACCAAAACAAATCAGTCTGATGCAGGATGGAGAGTTTCAGCCTTGGACCCCTTTGCTTGTATGACATAAAGCTACATCAATGTCAGCCACACAGAGGCAAAGGGCTCAGGCTGTGCTGTCTCCGCCTCAAGGCAGTTCATAAGAATAATTACTTCTGCTATTTAGAACAAAATAAGTGCATATGGTCTGAGGTTTTCACTCCTGGACTTAGATTTTACAGGAGTACAAATGACCTCCAAAGGGTGCAAATTCCAGGTGCAGATGGGGTAGAGAGAGCAGTTCCGTGGGGAAAAGGTCACCCACCAGCTAAACAGCCCATAGAGCTGAAGAAGGTCCTACATGCTCTGTACTGGTGCCATGAAGATGCAAAGAAACCATTCTACAAGGGGAGAGGGCTCTCTAATCCAGCCCCCATCTCATCTCCGCCTCATCCGCACCCTCATCTTTGTGTCAGCAAGGATGGAACCCAAGGCCCTGCACATGCTAGGCAAATACTACCCTGAGCTACATCCGCAGCCCCCTTCATCCTGGTGTGTGTGGGGGGCTGACATCCTTTCCACAGATGTCCTGAGCACCTACTATTGTACAGGGATGGCCACGTGACAATTCCCAGTTGTGGAGCTTTACAAGTCCTACCCTGGTGTACTGTTCACAGAAAACCCTACAGGCCACACACCTTCAGTCATAGCTTGCTCTTCTCACAGGGGAGATCAAATCTCTGAGAACATGATAGTAAGGAAGAATAAGATTATTTGTAGGTACTTATATATCCATTACATTTAAAAAATCAGATTAGTATAATGTCAAAATAAGCATTTTGCCAAAAGTTTTAAATATTGATGAATGTGGTCAAAAGCCTATCAGACCAATGTATTAAAGTTGAACAACATGAAACTGCTGTTTCTAGGGGTAAAAACAGTCAAATATTAGCAGTTTTGTGTGGTTCGATGCATGGATGATTTGTGTCCAGGGAAAGGGCTTCATTGTCTAGGATTCAGCAGTTACAGGATAAATACTTTATTTTAGAAAGCATCTGTGGGCCAAAGCTGAGTCGAGGGGAAGTTGCAGAGCTGATCACACACGGAGCCCCCAGTATACCCGTCCTCAAGGATACCAGGCACCACCTTGCCCAGAGCACCTGCCTGTCCTCAGCCAGGCCCTACAGCAGCTCCTACCCAGGGCAAGTGCCTCACAGCCTGCCCTCTGAGTGCTGCATATATAGACTTTTTTTCAGTGCACGGTATATACTTGTGTCCAGGAGTTAAATTTATAGCTGCCATTCTAAAAATACTACTGTTAGAAAGTAAGTATCTTTCATTATAATTTCAGAATATAAAAAGGCATATAAAAGCTATAATCCTATATATCTGAGAAAAATTCTGAATAAAAAAAGTGGTAGCTTTTCCTTTCCTGTTTTGATATAAAGCAGCGGCTTCTAGAGTGGTCAACTCTGCCCCAATGCGCAAGCGTGGCATGACTGGTGCAAACGCAGTTCCTGCTGCGCAAGTCCTGTGTGTGCGATGAAGATTCCCACAGCCCAGCCGGGGGGCTTGATGCTTTGGACCTCTCCCATCATGGGCGCCCCGAAGGTGGCAGCTGGCCACAGTCCAAGTCACAGCACAAGGCTTTGGCGTGTGTGTTGGGGCCGCAGTTCTGGGGGAGCTGTGAGTGCTGAGCGGGATCCCACCTCCCCGCCCTGCAGCTCTGTGGGGTGTGGATCTTCCTGGTGACCTGCGGAGCCAGGTAAGTTCTATTTCTTATTGGCAATTCTTCTTTTCCTTGTGGCCAACATGTCATAGAAAGGATCCCTACTGATGCTTGCTCTGGGGAAAAAAAAACAAAGTGAGCAAATCAGGGTCTAGGACAAGCCCTAGACCTCCACTTCCCACCAGCCCAGGGCCTCCATGACTGGAGAGGAGATGGAGATAGGGTAGCTTCTCTAGCAGCCCCTGAGTTCCTACAGACAGAGAACATTTGTCCCGTGAGTCCCCAAGGCAAGCGCTCACTCTGCTAGACCTTAACTCACTTGATGGATTTCATCCATTCCTCCTTCTCCTCTGGGCTCGGGGCAGAGATCCGGTACACCACGTGGTTCCCCTCCACAACTCGGCCATCGGCTTCTGTTTTGCAGGCCTTGATGACCTGCCCTTTGTGACTGGGATTGTAAAGCTCAAAGCAGTTCTGGTGGAGACAAGGGGGAGGATGTCACGGGGGGGCCAGATCAGGCTGTCTGCATCAGGCTCCTTGCCTGGGGAGTGCCACCCCATGGGTAGAAAGAAGCTGGCAGGAGAAAGCCACTTACAGGCTTCCGCGGGTCCTCCACCTCCCTGATGCTGAGGTTTTCCAGTGGGATGATTCCCCTAGGCTCTTTGTCCTACAAGAGAAAGGTGCACAGCAGCCTCAGCAGACCGTAGGCGAAGGCCCCTCACCACGGGGGGCTCTGGTGACTGCTGGAAGGAGGAAGAGTGGGCTCCCCACTTACCGTTGTGTATTCAAAGTAGTAGAGGCAGTTATCCGTCAGGATGAACCAGCGCCGCTTCCAGGTCTTCACACGCCCCCCTAGGAGCAGAAGGGCCCCATGAGTCAGGTGCTCAGGGCTGTGGAGCCCGAGGCCTGAGGGCCCAGGACCCACACCAGCTACTGCATTTGCAGAAAGACCCCAGGAGCCAAGCTTGGGCTTTAGTTTTCTCCTTCGTGAAAACCTTTATATTCTGACCAAGTTAGCAAAGTCAGGACAAGCTGTGTGGCCTGGCCGTCCAGTTGGGATGGCTGGGTGCATGGCTGGGGCCCACATGCACCCCCCACCCGGCCCACACAGGTATCCTCTCCATGGCCACCCAGGGTCACCCTAGATAACACAGCACTCTCAAATCTGCTTCCTGGAAAAGTCATAATGGATGGGTGCAATCTCCCCACATGAGATGATAACATGATGAAGTCAACGCCGCTCACCCAGGTCTATCCAGGGCTAATCCTGTTTCGCCCAGGCATTATCACATTACTGGGTACTTTGGGCAGCCCTGGGATCCATCAAAGTCAATTACCCCTTGGCTCAGGGAACTATTAGATTGAATTAAATTAATCTTTTAACAAGATCTGGAGCACACACTACACACATGCACACACAGTCCGTCTGATCTGTTAGCTCTGACGCTCAGCACAAGCAACTTCAACTGCTGGCCTTGGCTTCTGAGGTGAAGTCAGGAGGTGTCGGGGCGGGTGGAAGTAAAGGAGGGAGAAAGAAAACACTGCTCACCACAACAGACCCAAGCACTATGCGGATGCAGGTGAGAAGAGACCTACCTTCCCTTCCCCAGGGCTCCCCAGTACTGATGGGGTGACAGGGAACTGGAAGGGTTGGGATTTGGGATCCCTCCTCGGGACTGGGAGCACTGTGTGGGGCATGGAGACAGAGCGGTGGATGGAAAGGCGTGGGGGAA